CCCCAAAACCCCAAAACCCCAAAACCCCAAAACCCCAAAACCCCAAAACCCCGAATAATTTTATTCTTATTGAAAGTGAGTTTTATACTGCATTAGAAAATATATCAACCACTCCGATTGCTTTTGGATCATACAATCCCTTCTTCAGCCTTTGATAAGTATCTCTATACTTTTCTTCAGTTGCATTGACCATAAGAGTATTCCTCTTATTCTCGAATCTTGCTCCTTCCGATCTTCTTTCAGGGTCAAATTTGACTGTCTGATGTGCACTTGATCTTCTCGTGGGACTTCCGGCTAATTCTTGAGTAAATCCAAGCTCCTGATTATCATATCTATTGTATTTATTTTGTAATTTTCTTGCAAATTTGACATTTTGAGCTGAAGAAACAAAAAGTGGCTTCTTTGATAATTGCAATTTTACAATTATATTTCGAATGCTTCTAGCAATGATCGATTCAACATTATTTTGATATCATCCCCCTACTGTCATTAATATTGGAACACCTTGATCTTCAATTACTTCTCTAAAAACTAATTCATCTCTAAGGATAAGAATTGAATCTGAAATTTGCATGTTGCCATAACGATCTCCTCTAATCATATCGTAGCCAGCGTTGTATATAACGAAATCAGGAGCATAACTGCTCAATGCTTGATTTACTTTATGTCTTATTTTAGTAATATAAGAGTCATCATTATCAAACGAACCGACTGTAACCTTCTCATGCACTTTAAACTGGGATTTTGTATCTTTTGGTTCTCAGTTAGGGTCAAAAATGTCTAAGAGATACACCCCTTCATCTTCTGGATAATCAGTTATAACTCCGTTTGCTTGTCAGACGCTTGTATTTATTACTAAAATTCTTCTAGCGCTTTGAACATGCCACTTCTTAGCATAATGGATTGCTAAAGTGATATCTGGATAAACATTGAACATACTTCCAGATGAAGAATATGCATGGGTATATCCTCCATCTAGGTTTATTGCCCATCCATGGCGAATTGCCAAGCATATTCCATCAACTGTTCCTTTTGCAACTTGAGCTTGTGGTATTAAAACTCCAAATCTGATGACCCATCCAGGAAGAAAATAAGCAGGTACTCCCAGATATTTAGAGAGAGGCCAAGAATAGCACATTTTCAGCAAATACCAAAAACTTAGTTTGTCCATTAAGAATGCTCTTGTAGGAGAATCTGGTTCATGATAAAAATTCTTTTCCTCTTCAGGACTATATTTTTGCCTGTCTAGCTGCTCACGCTCTTTATTTATTGATCTGGCTTGGTCTTTGTTCCTTTTCCTCCTCTTCTCTCTCTCACTTCTTTCTTTATTATCAACACCAGGTATGTTCATCACATTTTCATCTTCTATTGAGGAATTGGCATCTGAGCTCTTTTCATCATCTTGTATGATTCTTCTGGCTGCATCTTCGTACCACAATTCTTCTTCATCTTTAGAATCAAGAATTTCCTCCTCTTCAAGAGTCCTGTAGATATAGTAGGCAAGATCGTTGTCAATGCCATGCTTCTTCCTCTGGCATCCCAGTATTGTCTGCTTGTAAGTGTCACTGTAAACAATTGGAAACTTTAGGTCTCATATTTCATCACAATCATGCTTGTGAGCTTGCCTTCTTAACGAACTCGAGGTTAAGAAACCATAAATGTTGAGTATAACTTCTAAGATAACTGGTGCAAAGAACAGCATGATGATCGAGAACAGAATACCCCAAATGTTGAAGTTTATGATTGACATGATAAGCCATACCATTCATGTGAACCAAGCTGCAGCTCAAATTATTGTGTAGAACAAGTGCCCGTCGAATTTCATTTTTAATTATTACAAATTTAATTCAAAAATATGGTTTTTCTAGGGGTTTTGGGGTTTTGGGGTTTTGGGGTTTTGGGG